TAGAGATCATAGATAACAGCTTGAGTTCCCCTCAGAAAGGTCTGTCTAACAGCAAGGTAAAGAGCTGAAGACATTCTGAATATAGCTTCACTTACCATCTACTGTAGTAAAACGCTGACTGTTGCTCAGAACCTCATACAACCACACTTCAAAACATCCAAACTCTACCTTTAACGCATTTGCATGCTGAATGTCGTGCATGTATGTTCTCAGATTCTTTATTTGGTATTTTACAAACTAATGGAGATTATAGTTTACACCATATTTGGGCTTCCCTACTTTAAAGTGTGATCCCCACAGGGTTAAGATACAGCACATAGCATTTTGAGCTTGCTTGATTTGGATTTGAATAAACTGCTGATTTGGGTTTCGTTGCTTGCTCCACCCATTTTCCTTTCACACCTTTAAATGTCCTTTTCCTCACGCTTCAATGTTCCTCTTTTCATCCACTCTATTCATTTGTTTTCTGTCAAACTGTCTGATTTACAGACCACAGCACACCTTATTTTGCTTTATCACTTTCAAATTAAGATTTGTGTCACTCTTATGTTGAGATATATATATATATATATATATATATATATATATATATATATATATATTATACCATATCAAACACCAATGAACTGTTACTTTTTATTACTGGCATGCCACTAATAAGTCCACAAGTGGAAGGTTGAACAGTTCATTTTGTTTCATTGCAGGAACATAGTGTTGATTTATGCACCGTCACATTGACGAGATACTTCAGACTGCTCTTTTCATATTTGTTTAGTTTTTGCCTTTTAACATGCATGTTACCCCTCCCCCTCAACCCCTTCATTCTTTGTCTCCTGTCATGTCATCTTTTTTTCTCACGTTGACTCGCTCCAGATGCCGTCTAACAACAGCATCCGAAAGCAGATTGAGACGCTGCAGGTGAGTTTATCTGGTTGGCAGCGAGCTGCCCGGTGCTCCCGTCACTCTGAAAAGGTCCGGGTCCTAAAACCAGGAAGCTAGATTATGAATCCTACTGTGGGCGAAGGGCGTGGCCCTGCCCAGCTCCGCCTCTGATTGGAGAGGAGTCGTCGTCTATGTTGGTTGGATTCGGTTATGTTTAGGCTTGAGGAGTGAGATTGGTGAGGGTAAGGATATCAGGGTGAGCCAATCAGAGGCAGCGTCGGGCGGGTCATGTGTTGGAGAGCAGAAGCTCAGGCTGGGCCGGTTGATGAAGTCTAAACTACGATCTCCAACGCTTCTGTCTATTCTGTAATTAGTAGCTATTGGTGTCCCAGAGAGGTTTGACGTTTGAGTTTATTCTTCAAGCAAAGAACCAACTCAAGGTCGCCTCCAGAGACCAACTGCTTGTATAGTTTCTCCGTCTGAGGCTAAAGCTCCGCCTTTATTTTAAACTCTTCCTCTGTTGCCTTGGATGCGATGGTATATTTTATATCTGTCTCAGGAAGTCCCAAATGTTCACACATGTCCTGGCATGTCTCCATGATACCAATATTTTCAGAGGTTTTTCAAAGTGTATTCCATTTATTTTTTTTTTACTTGTACATTGAGTCAAACAGGTTATATGCTAAATCATATTATATTAGCACTAGTTATACACACATAGATGTGTGTTTAAAACATAGTGCTGCTGACGTATTGTGATAAATCAAACTCCAACTCATGACGTCGCCGTAGTAGGATTGATAACACCGTGACCAGGACGTAGAACCGATCCCCCTGATTGGCTCACGTGGGTAGTGAGTCGTCCTCTGTGGGGACATTGAAGAGTGAAGAGGAACACGTGGACGTGTTGTGTTGTGGCCTTTCAGGCTTTGTTGTTGAGCTGGTTTGTGTTTTTGGTCGGTGGTGATGACTGTTGTCTGATATTTAGATTTGTACTGAATGAAAGGGTCTTACTCAGCGCGTTTACTCAAGTACTGTACTTAACTGTACTTGTTCTTTACTTGAGTATTTTCATGTCATGCTACTTTATACTTCATCTTCACCACATTTTGGAAGTCAATATTGTACTTTTTCACTCTATTTGACTGCATTACCTACTAGCTACTTTCAGTTTCAGATTATTAATAAAAAATATAAATCTAAAAATATTTAAACATTAAACTAATAAATGATGATGTAGTTTTATGGATTAAGCTACTGGGAGGTATATAAAGTAGCTGAGATTATGTTAATGCATCAATGATTATAAAACTAACGTATATTATTCTGCATAATGAGTAGTTTTACTTTTGCTACTTAAAGTGCATTTTGATGCTCATAATTTTAAGTAATATTTTGAATGCAGGACTTTAACTTGCAGCAGAGTATTTCTACTCTGTTATTGCTGTTTTTACTCAAGTAAAAGATCTGAGTACTTCAAGCAAATATCAGCCATATAACAGGAAATCTACACTCTACTGTCATTAAATGCAAGTTTTTATTATCAGCCAAAAATAAGTAATAGTAGCAGCTATCAATGCAATATCAGTAAAAACAATTCAGATTTGTGCATCCTAATTTATTACCAGACGGTCAGAGAAAGTCTTTGAGAGGATGAACTCATTTGAATATCATAGAATTTGATGATTTACCTGCCACCTCACATTGAGGCTGAGTTTTGTTTTTTAAAAAATCGTTAATCGACATCCTTAATGAGCTCGGCACTGAGGTGAGAGGGGGATTTCCAGCAGAAATCGAGCCCTGATATGCAGCCGCTACTTCAATCAACACATTTCCATGACGTTAAAGAAGTTAGATTACCAGACCAAATTAAACAGGTTAAATAAATGCATGAGTCGTCATGTGTCCTCGTGTTTGAAGTCTAGTATTTGATCAACCAACAAAGGTTGAGAAAGTTATAAACCTGTTTTCAAAAGTTGCCGTCAAATTAGGCAACCTACAGCTGAGTTTGAGTTCTTTTAAATAGAAACTGAATTATTAATTTACCTTCTTATTCAACAAGCCAATTAGAGATTATTAAATCTCGCAGCACAATAGTGTACTTGATTTATGGACTGTGGTTTCCAATCCAGCGTGGAACTTACCTCTAGGTTTATGTTTACAGTATCGTGTTGATAAACCGTGGCGTGCTTAACTGTGTTTAAAAGTCCTTGTTCATTCTTAAAGTAGTTCCACATCAAAGTAGCGTTTTGCTTTTTATTTTGATATATATTCAAGTCCTTTATTAGTCCCACAGAAAAACAAGCGGAGACAACAGTAAAAAACAAACACGATCAAATATCTGTCAGTAGACTGAAAAGTTGAGTCCACATTATTGCACTTATAAAATATTGATGCTGCACAGAATTAATAACTATCTGAACACCGGATGTATAAATATTAGATGGAGGAATAATAAAAGGAGGTGCTGTGACAGTGAGGTGGTTGGATAGAAAGGCAGAGAGAGTTTGGCCAAAAGAGTTTGAAACCACAAACCTCCATAAAGCCAACAAGGTGAAGCCGTCATATAGAAGTCCTTGCACCAAGACCACATTACACGCTCTGAGCCGGATCGCCCACAGTCTGGACCATCGGGTTGGGACCAGTCTGCAAAATAACCCGACACACAGGCCTCGCCTCGGCTTCTTCTCATTGCCGTCCTCGTGCCCCAAGAAGTGGAGAGAGTCATGTCCTATTGTGATCCAGGTTCTCACAAAAGACTCTGGATCAAATGTGTCCAAAGGGGGGTCCATGTAGGTCCACAAACAGACATGAAGACAGACTCGATTAGACAAACCTGTTTCATCTCTGGCAAAAAAATCGTCCCTCACACTCACTTTTCATATCGGTGAATACATGTTTTTGCAGTTTTGTAACGGCCCTGTGCAGGTATCTCAACAATATGTTCATTATAACAGTTAACTCGGACGGTAAGTCCATAAAGTGGTCGTAATGGTTATTTTCCTCAAGATGTTTTCTTCTGGTTGACATTGATTGTCTTCATACTCAACATTTCATCCAAAAGCCCATAAAATAGTTTTTTATTTCACTAGTTTTACTGCCGACTACATCTTCAAAATGCTTAGCGATCATCGGATCCTGTGGACTTTTAACTGTTCAGACGTGAAACTCATTGGAAATTAAGCACAGAGGCTGAAAAAGGATCGTACAGTTCCTCAAGAGAACATCAACCCGGTCTCACAGGTCTCACAGGTGGGTAGGGTTACTTCCAAAATCAAAGTGAGTGTCTCATATTGTTCTCTTTACATCCACAGAACAAAGACCCCAAAATGTCCCGCGTGGCTCTGGAGTCTCTCTACAGACTGCTGTGGGTCTACATCATCAGGATCAAGTGTGAGAGTAACACTGTCACACAGAGGTCAGTTGATTGATGGCTATGAAGTACAACTCTTTTCAACATTAGCCTTGTTGTTGAGCAGTAAATAAGCTGAAAATATCCCTTTTTTTCCTCCACTAGTCGACTACTCAGCATCGTTTCAGCACTTTTCCCCAAAGGCTCCCGGAGTGTGGTGCCCAGGGACACGCCGCTCAACATCTTCGTCAAGATCATCCAGTTCATCGCTCAGGTAAGTTTGAGCCGACATACCTGGATCTCACAGCTAATGATACACCGTGTAGGAGCTGTGTGTAAAGCCCCTTTCTCACTGGACTAAAACATTCACTTACTCCCACTAACATCTGGCGTTTGTCTCTAGTGGGAAAGGTTACAACCGGCATTCATTCCCGGGAAAAAATGACTCTGCGGTAGCCACGGGTATTTATCAGCTGCAGCGATGGAGACACAACGCTTTCTGACGCACGTTGAAGTGAATATATAATAAACAAAATCAACAGGGATAATTATTGTAATTTATTAACGAACAAAACATAGAATTAATATGCTCTTCTCAAAGCCACCACACTCCAGTCAGACAACAGTAATGTTACCTCACTGATCATTGAAACACACTCAACAGAAGCAAAATAACTCATCAAAACTGTCTTTGTCGGTCTTTCCACTGTTCCAATGGTCCATTTAGAGTCAAACAGACCATAAAGCAGGGGATGCTTTAGGGCGGGGCTACACAGTGATTGACAGGTCTCTACCAGAGACTTATACGGCATCGCTACGTCACTCCTCCTCAGTCCTAATATGGTTACTTCCTGTTCACTGGTTGCAAAAAGCCAAAATGTCGACGTGTGACCAGGGTTAGTGAATCCTGCTCTGTTGGTCGTTACAGGAAAGACTGGACTTCGCTATGAAGGAGATAATCTACGACCTCCTGTGTGTGGGCAAGTCTCACAAAACCTTCGCCATCAACCCGGAGGTAAAGTAGAGACGTCAGGTTCTGATGTTGTTGTGGCGTCTGTGGATTCCTTCTCGTCATAACTCTCTCGTCGTCTCAACAGAGGATGAACATCGGTCTGCGAGCCTTCCTGGTGATCGCCGACAGCCTCCAGCAGAAAGACGGCGAGCCTCCGATGCCCACGACTGGGATCATCATGCCCTCCGGCAACACCCTGCGCGTCAAGAAGATCTTCCTCAACACCACCCTCACAGACGAAGAAGCCAAGGTCATAGGTGGGTTGGATTCTTTTAAACTTTTGGGAAAAATAAAAAGGCTTTTTTTAGTTGAAACCGTTGAATGACTCCTCTGGGTGTTTTCCAGGCATGTCGCTGTACTACCCTCAAGTCAGAAAGGCCTTAGATAACATCCTGCGACACCTGGACAAGGAAGTGGGACGCTCCATGAGCATGACCAACGTACAGATGTCCAACAAGGAGCCCGAGGACATGATCACGTACGTCACCACAAACCTGGACTCGTGCTGTTTTACTTCCTTTTTGTTACTTCTGACCTGAAGTTCTCATAAGCTGGTTTTTGTACCACAGGGGAGAGAGGAAGCCAAAGATCGATCTGTTCCGTACGTGCGTGGCCGCCATCCCGAGACTGATCCCGGACGGCATGAGCAGACAAGACCTCATAGAGCTTCTAGCCAAGTAATCCCCCCCTCCTCTAACCTAACTGCAGACACATCGGTGTACAATCTACCTTAGCTCCTAACGTCTTCCTCCCTCTCCCTCTGCAGACTGACCATCCACATGGACGAGGAGCTGCGTGGCCTCGCCTTCACCACCCTCCAGGCCCTGATGGTGGATTTCCCAGAGTGGCGTGAGGACGTCCTCTCGGGCTTCGCGTACTTCATCGTGCGAGAGGTGACGGACGTCCACCCCACTTTGTTGGACAACGCTGTCAAGATGCTGCTGCAGCTCCTCAGCCAGTGGAGGCAGGCGGTGCAGAGCAGCAATAAGAGCCACGATCCAAAGGTTTGTGAAGGAAGTCCGAACGGTTTTATAGCGTCATCACTAGCAGTGATTTTTATGTGTTATGTGCGTTACTGTACTTTGTGTTTATGGCTTTTGGTTTGTTTAGTGTTTAGAGTCTGATCTCAATTGTTTTCTCTCCAGTGTTTATGAATTAACAACATGAATAAAAAGGTTATCATTTTTGTAAGTCACTTTTTCAATCATAAAACCGGTTATAAAATAGTTTGTCAGGTGATTTTTCTGTTATTATGATAATTTACAAAAACAAAACTCCACAATATATGTTCCTTTGAGTTTAGAGTGCATGTAGAAATTTAGTCATTTTTAGACCATGTGGTAATGTTGCACTTCAGCCTCTTGTGGCCAAAATTAGTATTACAACAAAAAACACTTGATGAAACCTGCCAAAACATATTTTCTCCACATCTTTTACAGATGAAAAGAAAACCTGTTCTTAAATCATACACACAGGAGAGAAAACAATTTAAATCAGTCTTAGAAAATGAATCAGCAGAATCTTTTTCTCTCACTTGCCTCTCGGGGCTTCCGTACAATTGGCCCCAATGTTCAGAGTGAGTTTTTGATGATAAATATTATTTTCACAGGGCTCAAGCAGCGGCCATTCACTGCCCCTGGAGCGTACTCCTCTGTTGGGTGTGCTGCGCGTGGTGGAGGGTTTGGCTCTGGTGGTGCTATGTAGCTGTCGTCCTGCTACACGCCGGCTGGCTGTTAACGTCCTCAAGGAGGTCCGTGCGCTGCACACAGCACTGGGCATCTGCAAGGTAATTACTCCAACCACGGTGTGTTTTATTACGGCCGACAAATAACAGCCAAAGACTTTTAGTGCTGTTTTTCTGACATTTGCTCTATCTACCTCAATCTTTCAGGGGGATGAGGAACTGGCCATTGATGTAATGGACCGATTAAGTGCATCGGTGCTGGAGAGCTTCATTCATCTCACAGGAGCTGACCAGGTATTCATTGCATCTCTCATTTACAGAGTCATAAAACTTAACAACTCCTCCGAGGCTCAATGTGTCTTTTCTCCGTAGACCAACCTGCTGTACTGTCCCAGTGGCATTGATCTGCAGACGCTGGCGGAGTGGAGCTCATCTCCCATCAGCCACCAGTTCGACGTGGTGAGCCCCTCGCACATCTGGGTGTTTGCCCACGTCACTCAGGGCCAGGACCCCTGGGTCATCAGCTTCTCCAGCTTCCTGCGGCAGGAGAACCTGCCAAAACATTGCCCCACCGCCCTCAACTACGCATGGATGTTTGCCTACACGCGCCTGCAGCTTCTGTCTCCACAAGTTGACATCAAGTACGTTTCCCTCAAGGCAGCTGCTTTGATCTCTCGACCAGCGGCTCTGTGTCATCGTTCCCTTTTTACGTCATGTCATCTCTGACCTCTCCTGTTATGTACGTTCACCTTCAGCAGCCCCATCAACGCCAAGAAACTGAACAGTCTGAACAGCAGCGACTCCTACATCGGCCTCTGGAGGAACTACCTGATTCTGTGCTGCAGCTCCGCCTCCTCCTCCCCCTCCATGTCCTCCTCGTCCTCCACCTCTGGCTCCGTCCGCTGCTCCCCGCCTGAGACGCTGGCGTCCACGCCGGACAGCGGCTACAGTTACGATTCGAAGGTGAGGCTGCTGAACACGGAGCAGAGAGGAGAGGTTGTAACAATGTGAATAGTTCAATGAACTAGTAGTTTTTGCGCATGGAGCCTGAATTATGTTTTCCAACTTTGGTAATACTTGGAAAATGTTGGATATAAAGATTCCATTGTTTTTACATTTTTGTAAAATTTATTATAAAAGAAATTCAACTTCCGTTTTTTGTTGTCATTATTACTATGTTCTACTGAACAAAATACATTTTTGAGTTCCCTCTACTTCTAGCCATGATTGTGCTGTTTCCATAGAGCTGCAATATACAAACCATGTGTTGCCATTTTTCAAGTATTGAAAGTTATGCACAAAAACGCAATCCAGTGTCAATTTAAGTACGACGATGTATTATGTGTAACCCTGGATTTCAGAATCCTAAAAACGTAGGATCCATGTAACGATGACCAATGAACAGCTGGTAATTTATTTTTACATTTCAGCCATGACATTGCTTCCGTCTGTGTGTTCGTAGATTGTTGGTACTCCGTCCCCCTCCTCCCTCTTCAAACACATCGTTCCAATGATGCGCTCTGAGAGCATGGACATCACAGAGTCTCTCGTGTTGGGGCTTGGCAGGACCAACCCCGTGGCCTTCAGGTAAACAACACATGGCGTGACCTGTGCTTTATTTAACAGAGGTGGGACAAAGTCACGTGCAAGTCTCAGAGTCAAGTCCCGAGTCCTAAACTGTGACTTTCGAGTCCTAATCAAGTCATGATGCCCTCTTCACCAAATGCAATGCCATTTGTGTGTCTGTCTGTCTAATTTCCGCAAGTTTTGCAAACTGTAATGTCTGTAGATGTCTCTTACTGACTAGTGCAACTACAGGTTAAGGTAATACAGTGACAGAACCTTGTGATCAACTTTCATTCATTGCACATGCTGCAATTAGTTTCTTTATTGACCACCGCGTAGTTTTATTTATACGCAAACAAAATGACCGTTGGCATCATTTCTCCAACTGGACTTCGGTAACGTAACGTTAGTTCTTAATGATTCTCTCCTACAGGATGCTGTCGGTTCAAACAAAGCCAATCTGGGGACTTAAGAGTCGACTTGCTGGGAATGAATAGAGTTAGAGATAATTCAGGAAATGAACTGATTCGTGCCACACTTTTTAAATGTAATTTTGAAGTGGGCTTTGGGGGATGGTATGAAGTGTTTTCATGTCAAAAGCCTCAAAGTCCAAGTGAAGTCACGAGTCCAATTTTATTTGATTTTGTCAAATTCTTGATGTGACTCGAGTCCACACCTCTGGTCCTTAATATATTCTGCTACACCTCGACATACTCTTTACCATCTTTGAATTGTTTATTTACATGATACCTTTCCCGTCCTTCAGAGAGCTGATAGAGGAGCTCAATCCCATCATAAAAGAAGCTCTAGAAAGAAGACCTGAAGTAAGTGCACTTCACTGATGCCATCTGCCACAGTTCTGTGTTTAGCAAAAGACGATCTGCTGAGTTACAATGCTGCCGTGTTTACTCTGCAGAACATGAAGCGACGCAGGCGTCGGGACATCCTCAGGGTCCAGCTGGTCCGGATATTTGAGCTGCTGGCTGATGCTGGCGTCATCAGTCAGATGTACGTAATCCACAACGATCCCGTGACAATGAGTGAGTTTGCTCTTTTAATTTATCTGCGTATTAATCTTACTTATCTTCACAGAACCAGTGGAGGGTTAGATGGAGAGAGCCACTCTCTGAACAGCACGCTGCTCGAGTATGTTGATCTGACCAGGCAGCTGCTCGAGGCCGAAAATGACAAGGACTCTGACACGCTGAAGGACATTCGCTGCCACTTCAGTGCACTTGTGGCCAATATCATTCAGAATGTCCCAGGTATGTCTCCGAAGTCAGATGGTATGTCCTGAACGTCTGTCTAAAGGGTCTTGTTTGCTAAATGTGGTTAATTTGTTGTGTTCAGTGCACCAGAGGAGGACCATCTTCCCCCAGCAGTCGCTGAGACACAGTCTGTTCATGCTGTTCAGTCACTGGGCCGGCCCCTTCAGCATCATGTTCACTCCTCTGGACCGCTACAGCGACAGAAATATGCAGATCAACCGCCATCAGTACTGTGCACTAAAGGTACACGCAGATGCACGTAAAGATGTGGATGTTGAAATCTGTCTATGCTCACTGAGCGCTAACGGCTTCTTTCATGCTCCAGGCCATGTCTGCGGTGTTGTGTTGTGGCCCCGTAGCCGACAACGTTGGCCTCTCCTCTGACGGCTACCTCTACAAGTGGCTGGACAACATTCTGGATTCTCAGGACAAGAAGGTAAGAGAAGCGTTGGGGTCTGTGGCTCCTCTGCGTAAAATCCTCATTAGTTCACTTATTAAATCCTCGTGCTTTTATCAGTGAACTATTTGAAAAGCTTCACTACGGCGACCATAAACCCTGCAACCCGGATGATGGATGGAAACTGATATTAACATTGTTACATCATTGTAATACATTATAATCTTTTTTTATAATGCGACTAAAAGTTACTCTTATGGTCACTGGTCGTTGTTTGCTTTAAGCAAAGTGAAAAGAAATCTTTAAATCTGTGCAAGAACAACACAAAACATTTCACTTTACTTGCACGAGATGGATTAATCCCAATGGATGAATTCAGCCGACACCAGATGAGTATGTAATTATAGCGTCTCCACTGACGCAGCTACGCTAATGAGGAGCGAGTGATTCAGTGAGGCTTTACTGTGAGACTTCCTGAGGTCACCGTTATGTAGCACAGGTTGACATGCCGGCGCTCTAGCACCACACAGTGGTGTTCAGAAGTACTGCAGGAGGTCAGCATGTTTCATCAAGTGTTCCACTCAGAAACACAATAAAATCACCTTTGAATCCAGTTGGAAACACAATATTTAGTGGCTGAAATAAATTTCTTCTTTTAAAGATAGGACATTGTTGTTTTGAGTGATTCTGCAAACAAAATGCAGGATACCTCATGCTGTTATTGTCATTTCAAAGTTCATCCTAATAGTCCTTATGGCAGACTTGTGTTTACAAAACACACAGCTTTGCAGCATATTTTTCTGCTAATGTTAATACTGAATATTTATATAGATAGATATATAGATATCGATGGGTTAAAAACTAGCAGGATAGAGACTGTTGGAGGTGAATCCTTGGTCCTAACAGCGGCTGCGTGGTCGTCTTCTCCAGGTTCACCAGCTGGGTTGTGAGGCTGTGATGCTGCTTCTGGAGCTGAATCCAGACCAGAGCAACCTCATGTTCTGGGCCGTGGACCGCTGCTACACCGGCTCTCGCCGCGTGGCGGCCGGCTGCTTCAGGGCCATCGCCAACGTCTTTCACAACAGGTGCTGCACATTCCCGCTTTGCTTGTGACCCTTTAGGAGCCAGCGGATCACTAACGCTGCGTTTGTGCGTCACATGTTCCTCTCAGGGATTACCAATTTGACACTGTGGTGCTGCTGAACCTGATTCTGTTCAAGGCGGCGGATTCTTCCAGGGAGATCTATGAGGTGGCCATGCAGCTGTTACAGGTGAGAAAGGTTCTCTGTTCTCCACGTAACACCGCTACATCCACTTTGATTGTTTCATTAAATACACTTTGTCTGTGTGGGAATATTAGATCCTGGAGCCCAAGCTCTTCCGTTACGCCCACAAGTTGGAGATCCAGCGGACGGACGGTATCTTGACGCCTCCCTCACCGCTGCCACACCTCTACTCTGTGTCTTACTACCAGCTGTCTGAGGAGCTCGCAAGGACTTACCCAGAGCTCACTCTGCCCATCTTCTCAGGTTTGTTACGTCACAACCTGGGGTAGCAGGGGGCGCTTGAAGGTCTTGCGAAAAGGCGAAAACACAATTGATGCTCTGTTAAAGCCAGTTGGCAGGCCGGACACATACACACACACACACACACACACACACACACACACACACACACACATGGACGAGGTCTAAGCTTTATTTGCCTGTGAGAGCGGGGATCGACCCTTTTGTCCGTGTCAGCGAAACAGTGAGATTTTCCAAAAGCCCGATAAGCACATGTAAACCCAGATGATGACATGATGACGTGCATCTGTACCTAAAAGCCTCACAGCAGCCTTTTTGTTTTAAGAACCAACTGAACTCCATAATACCTGATTCATATTTTAACGTTTTCTGCGCCGCGCTATATTTGTGTGTGTATTCTGTCACTATAGCAATACTGAGAATATGGAAATATTGTGGATGTTATGATGCTATAAAGGTTAGGAATACACTTAACAACCCCCCCCACTGGCTCCACTCCAGAGGTGAGCCAGCGAATCCAGACTGCTCATCCCGGCGGTCGTCAGGTCATGTTGCACTACCTGCTGCCCTGGATGAACAACGTGGAGCTGGTCGATTTCAAACCGGCCGCACCGCGGCGACCGGAGGACTGCTGCGGCGGCGAGGAGGACGAGGACGCGCATGAGCGGGACACCACGATGGTCAACAGCCGCCGCTGGCTCCGCGGAGAGGGCTGGGGCTCCCCCCGCGCCACAACCATGGTGCTCAACAATCTCATGTTCATGACCGCCAAGGTGAGACACCCAACGGACCGTCTGCACCGGTTTGGAAACATTCATTGAGATGAATTGTTAATTTTGTGTTTTTGTTTTTACAGTATGGAGACGAGTTTGCCTGGTCAGAGATCGAGAATGTGTGGACCACTTTAGCAGACAGCTGGCCAAAGAACCTCAAAATCATTCTGCACTTCCTCATCAGTATGTCGGGAGTCAGCAGTGACCCCAGCCTCTTGCCCTACGTAAGTCACAGGATGTTTACCTCGTACGCCGTGCGCCGAGTTCACCGCTCACTCCTGTTTCTGACCGTGTGTGTGTGTGTGTGTGTGTGTGTGTGTGTGTGTGTGTGTAACCCCTCAGGTGAAACGAGTGGTGGTCTACCTGGGCAGAGATAAGACTATGCAGCTGCTGGAGGAGTTGATGTGTGAGCTCGAGCTGACCGATCCCGTTTGCTCAGCCGTCACTCACATGGACAACCCGCCTTACTACCGCATCACCTCCAGTTACAAGATCCCCTCAGTCACCTCAGGTTAATGAGCCGCCCGGCACGCTCCAGCTCACAGCTGAGGCCACGTCGTCAACACCGAGTCACGTGTTCGATGTCAGGTGGTTAATGTTTCTTTTTTTTATGTCTGCTCTCTCTCAGGAACAACCTCCAGCACCAACACCATGGTGCCAGGAAACGATGGTCATCACGACACCAAGATCAAAGACTCTAACATGGAGGACAGGTACCATCTGAAACACTTCTCACTACTCAAGTCTACTTGTTTTAAACAGAGAGGATCTATGGACACCAGTAAGAACTGTGATGTCTCAAAACTCATATTTCACACAACAGAATGTGTTTATAGTTGTGGGAATTCAACGGTAAACATTAAAGTATTGGAAATACTTTAATTTAACTCTTATTCATCGCTGGGGACGTTTTTGGCATTTTCATTTTCTTTGTCAGTTAATACATTTGGCGTACAATTTTTATTTTTTATTCAGCAAGTTCATTTCCAGGTCCTATGATAAGTCTATAATAAGATAAGGTCGAACTTCTCTTATGTGAAAGAAAGTTAGATCTTAGACAAATTAAATCAGATGAAACACACATGTTAGAAACATTTTACTGGCACTATCCTTTTAAGTAAAGCGTGTGTGTTCTGCAGTTACACCCACCTGGACATCTACAGTGGTCTGAACAGCAACCTGAACCGCCAGCACCACCGTCTGGAGTCCCGTTACAGCAGCAGCTCCGGAGGCTCCTACGAAGAAGAGAAGAGTAAGAGCAAACTCTCTTTGCCATCAATCTAAACACTACTAAGAAGTCTTTCCCACCAACACTCCTGGTTCTTTCTCCTCCAGGTGACTCCATGCCTCTTTATGCTAACTGGCGTCTGAAGGTGATGGATCACAACCGTCCGGAGCCTCTTCCCTTCCCTCCTACGGGAGGCTGCTGGTCTCCTCTTGTGGACTACCTGCCAGAGACTAATTCCCCTGGTGTGCCGCTCCACAGGTACGCTATCCGTCACCTTTACTCTCCCTCTACTTCATTCTGTTGTGTTCTGAAGCTAAAGTCAACCCTTCTTTCTTGTTTTTCAGATGTAACATCGCAGTCATACTACTCACAGACCTGATTGTGGACCACGGGGTCAAAGTGGAGTGGAGTGCCTACCTGCACCTCTTGCTACATTCAATCTTTATCGGTAGCTCGCTTTCTAATTGATGATATTTTGGATGCCTTTGTCTGCCAAGAACACATCTGCTTTTCTTCTTTAGGGGCTTCTCAGGTCCTGGCCCTTAATAACCAGATATCTTGTTATAAATAAGCTGATAAATATATAGATAAATATATTTTCCTCTACATTTTGGTCTCTCATTCATACAAACTATGTGGTGTGGACAGAATTTTATTTTAAAACATAGATGAAGTTCTCCATTTGAACTAATATCTGTATACGTGTCGACGGGCCCTAACCGACCTCGCACTTCTTTACCTCTCTACTTGCTAAAGTCACATGATCTAACCTCTTGTGTCTTCCTTCAGGGTTCGACCACCAGCACCCAGAAGTGTACGAGCACTGCAAGCGCCTGCTGCTCCACCTGCTCGTTGTCCAGGGAGCAAATAGCAGCGTTCAGTCTGTGGCCATGGTGCTGTTACGCAACCGAGACTACAACGAGCCGAGGGTCCTGACTGTGAAGCCGGTGGCTCCAGAGATCAACCTCACAGGTTAGTTCTGCTGCGGAGCTCAAAGTCAGAAGAGAAAGAAGAGAAACCATCGTTTACCTCAAGGAGGTTGAGCTGATTCCCTATCGGCTATATTAATATAAAGGACGGGAAGGAGCAGAGACATATTCATCATCTCCTCCTCTTTAGTTGTATTGCCAAAGCAGATCACTGGGTGGCAATAATGATCAAGCCCACACACAGGTTTCATTGTCACAGAATGTCAAGAATGGATTACTGAACGAGCCTAAAGGGCTTAGGGGCCCAAAGTGTCTGGGGCCCCCGTCGCCTTCAACGACAGTGTCACTCAAAGTGACACATACCAACCAGGAAGAGCCTGTAAATGACCACAAAGAGATACAAAATGACTAAACAGAGGAAAAGAACAACTACTAATAGAAACAAAACAATTGCAAAGACACAACAGACAACTATGAAGAGACAAAAAACAACTACAAAGAGAGGCAAAACAACTAAAAAGGGCAATTTAACTGCAAAAAGACTTAAAATAGAAGCAAACCAAGCTGCAAAGAGATAAATAGACCACACAGCAACTCACAACAACCATGAGAAGAGACGTAAATCATCTACAAAGAGATACAAATCATCTACAAAGAGACGCAAATCATCTACAAAGAGATGCAAATCATCTACAAAGAGACGCAAATCAGCTACAGAGACACAAAATTACCATAAAACAACAAAGAAGAGGCTGTGTGTCAGGTGGTGGGACCTTTTGCATATCTGTGCCCAGGGGTCCGTTGTTCCATAATCCGTTCTTTAGATTTTAACAACAAATTCTTATGAAACTCCCCATGAAAGACCCTTTTTAGATGATAAATATAAAAGTACACACTAACTACACTACTTACAACAATCTATATCTATATCTTGAAGGAGTATTTCATGCCACGCAGCTCAATGTGTACGATGTGTATCGTTCCTGTAGGAGTGCAGGACATTTTGTCAGACTGTCAGCCGTCTCCGATGACGGACTCCGGCCTCAGCTCGTGCTCCACGTCCTCCAGCATCAGTCTCGGTGCTGCCCTCCCCCACCTCTCCCCCACGCTCCTCACTGAGGGCGATGCCACTGCTGAACAGGACGAGAAGGTCAAATCTCTCATCGAGTTCATCACCTCCAGGTGAGAACACCCTGTTTTACTGAACAACATATACTTGTACTACTGTTACTGCTTGTATCTAACTTCACCTAATGTATAATCTCACATGTTTAGTGTGTATCTGTTTGAATCGTACAGATGTATCCACACACTGTCTCGCACTATGTTGCTCATTCTGTTCAATGATTTGCTTTCATGCCTCCAGCTGTGTCTGAAACGACCGGGTATTTTTATTTTACATTGCATGGTTTTATTGGCTCATATTGGCTCCTTTTGCCTGGTGTGATAACATCAGTTGATGTTTTGAGATGTGGTGTAACTTCATAGCTTTAATGAGTTTGAGTTTCTGAAGTGTGTTAGTATGAGGTTCTCCTCCACAGTCAGGGTTCTACTACAGTAGATGAGTTGATAGAACCAGCACGGGAGCAAAGTGATGTTCTGCTGTGGACGTATGTTAGACTCCTAACAGAATGTCTCTCAGTTGAAGTGAAGCTATATTCAGAATGTCTTCAGCTCTTTACCTTGCTGTCAGACAGACCTTTCTGAGGGGAACTCAAGCTGTTATCTATGATCTCTACAAACACACCAGACTCCATTCACTCAAACACTGACTCTACCTCTCAGGACACAGGAGCTGCTGCCTCCATCTGTTGCTGAGGTTGTGTTGTTGAGACTTTAGTGAATCTGAACTAACTCTTAAAAACACCTTTAAGTCACACAACAATACAACTAACAGATGGAGGCAGAATACGGGGGGGTAAAATCACATGAAGTGTTCATCTTTTCTCTTCATGCCCTTAAAACTATAATAATCTATAAACTTGTTCTCTACATTTATTTAGTTTTAAACACAAACACACCGTCTCAGTCCAAACGAACAGCCAGCAGACTGTGAGGAGATATTTGCTGAATTTGACAAAGTGTATTAGATTAGAATCACAGACTCCACCTTCAGCCTGTCTTGTGTTAAGAAAAATAAAATGACGAGTAAGAATAGATTATGACAGGATTTTTACAACCCTGTCCAATGAGGAAGTCTATCGTAACCACTGCTGTAGGTAAACACGCTGACTGTGGTATAAGTACCTCATATAAAACCATCCAAACGACCCCTTTAACATGCGACATGTTGCCTGATGTGTGTTTTGTTCTTGTAGAAAACGAGGCCCGCTGTGGAACCACGAGGATGTGTCGCCCAAGAACCCAAACATCAAGAGCGCTGAGCAGCTGAGTGTTTTTGTCAGACACGTAGTGACTGTCTTCAAACATTCCCCGTCAGGTCTGTACGCTTCACGACTGCTCGTTGCCTCATTTTACGGATTTCAGCTTGGACATACAGGTATGATTTAGACAGCGTGATCATATTCACTTCCCTCCTCCAGGTTTCCAGCTGGAGTCGTTGCTGAGTGAAGTAGCCCTTCAAACGGCGCTGTCTTGCTCTTCTCGACACTACGCCGGCCGCTCATTCCAGATTTTCAGGGCCCTCAAACAACCTCTGACTCTCGCCACGCTGTCCGACATTCTCTCTCGGCTGGTGGAGACTGTAGGAGACCCAGGAGAGGAGGCTCAGGTCAGAACGTAGAACAGCATCGGTTTAGTCTAGAGATGCACCGATCAATCGGCCACCGGTCGAAACCGGTCGGGTGTCAGCTGATCGGCCAGCTGCCGATCAGTCTCATATCAACACAGTACAATTACATACATAGATTAAAGATTCAGATGTTGTATAAGATATTTAAACGTTGGTTTCTGTCTGATGGACTGACCTGTGGTGTTTCTTCTTCGTAGGGTTTTGTCATCGAACTACTCTTGACTCTGGAGTCGGGCATTGACACGCTAGCAGACACAGTCAAAAACTACGACCTCCTCACTGCCTTAGCACAGTAAGTCCACTGATAACCTCCTTATGACTCGGTCACATAACCACCTGACATATGTAAGTCACAAAAACGACTTGTCCTTTTATTCACAGGACCTCTGCCCGCGATCACCTGTTGGGGCCAAAGTTTGCCACCAACAGGAAAAGCACCGGCCAGCTGAACCTGAGCAGCGGCGGTCTGTTTCATTACGCTCACACGCGCAGCAACTCTCTTCGGGCGAGCCTGATGGGCGAGCAGAAAGCCGACAGACGTCGGAGTAACACCCTGGACATCGCCGACCGGCTCGGCGGCAGCCACGGGAACTTGGCACGCACGCGGAGCTTATCCTCACTAGGTGGCGCCGGGGGTCCAGGAGGGGACGCCATCCCCCCCGTGGACCCTTCAAACCTGATGGCCACCGTGTTCTGGATCGCCGCCTCGCTGCTGGAGTCGGACTACGAGTTCGAGTACCTGCTGGCCCTGCGGCTCCTGAACAAGCTGCTGGGCCAGCTGCCTCTGGACCGCGTCGACAGCAGGGAGCGTCTGGAGAACGTCCAGGCCAAGCTGAAGTGGTACAGCTTCCCCGGGCTGCTGCAGCTCTTCCTGAAGGGCTTCACCTCTGCTTCTACTCAGGAGCTCACCATCCACCTGCTCAGCAAGCTCATCAGTGTCTCCAGACAGACGCTGGTCGACCCTTCACAAGTGGCAGGTAAGTGCAGGACTGAGAATATATATATACGCCCACTGCTGACTTGATCATGGATTTACCAGTGTTAGGGCTATTGTAGGTAAATAAATGAATACATTTGAAAAATATGGAGCCGGGTGGGGTGCCATATCTCAGAATTCCCCTCTCTTCATGTGACTCGTTGTGTCCCCTCTCTTCATGTGACT